GCTGTCACTCGTCCTCAAGGCGTATCTTATTTTCATCTCTTCCAGGATGCCTTTCTTGAAACAAACCCCTCCAGCATGCTCTGTGATGCCCCTGTTTGTTAGTAATCTTGTGGTCTGTTCTAGAAGTCCAGCCTGTTCCTCACCCTCAAATTGCACGTTATGGGTTTTGCACAACATACTGTTCTCACCCTGCCGTCCGCCTGTGTATGGGAACGTGGGATGCTGGTCACCGCCTTGGAAACATGCTTAGTTGAGACTTGCTCTTCAAGTGTCATTAAGTGAGCACAGTAATGCATTGCCTTCTCTTTCCCCAGGATAAACGGGATGCTCATCAGTCCCAGGAGACCGACCATCGAGAAGATGGCTTTGCGGGGGTCCTCCCCGCTGCACGTGGCTCACAGGCGGATAGTGGTCAGCATGCCCAACCTCCAGGACATTGCCACTCCCGAAGTGCAACCCAGGAACTCCTCGCTCCGGAAGGTGGATGCTGTGAGCTGTAAAGGCTGCAGCAAAGGTGATAGAATCATGCACGTTTCTGATCTGCGCTTTCTCGCGATTTGATGCTAACATTGCAAGATGCTGAAAGAAATCACAACTTATTTTAGTAGAAGGAAGTGATCTTTTTAAGCAGTTTAATTATTTGAAACATTTTTAGAATATTTTGCAAACCATATTTATGGTAGAAGATTATTTCTTGTCTCTCTTTTCCATCCCGTAGTCTCACTGCTAAAGATAACGGCTGTGAGCAGTTTCGGCCTCTTCCACATCCATACGCAGCCGAGCCTCGTGTTTGGCAATACTCACTCTCGTGAGGTTCCTGCAGACGCTGAGTTAGTGAATAGCAAACTAGCCCCGAGGGTCGGGGACTCAAATGTTTCGCTGCTCTGTGTGCGCGGGAGTTCCTGTGTGGCTCAACTGCCAGCCTAAAGGGTGGATGTTCAAGTCTACCCAGAGGTGCCTTGGAAGAAAGGCCTGATGATCTACTTCCAGAAAATTCAGTCAC